TGGAGTTCATGGTAAAGGATACACATGAATTTGGGATTCACCAGCATGGGGGTCACCATCAAAGCTATACTAGTTGTTAAAGTATTAAACTACTGGTATTTGGCTACTGTCCTAGACTTTCTAGTGCTTTCCTATAGCCACCATTCCACTCAAGCTCCCTGCCTCACCCATAACCTAGCACCTTAATGTTTAACACCTGCTCCAGGAGGCCTCCAGGACCTTGCTCCTGACCTAAAGCCAGTACCCACTTGGACTGGGGTAGTACCTTGCCTTACTTTGCCCAAGAGTGAGAACAAAAAGGACAGAGGATGCAATTTGGGGAAGCCCCGATATTCATGATGTAAATAGAAAAAGGCTGAAAATAAATGAACAAAGAGAGAGGAGAGTAGAAGAGTGGGCTGCCAGTGTTTCCATCCACCTCCTCAGCCATTCAGTCAGCAGGAATTCTTTTACTGAGACCTTATGACATGCCAGGGACAGGGACAGGGACTATGATAGGTACTAGAGGAATCACGGAGGTGGAAAAGACACTTTTAAAAGTTTTACTTTTAAAGGTGTCCAAATCTAGTGGGCATGCTAGGGGATGGGGTTAAATAATATTCATTAAAAACAAATGAAAGAGAAGGAAAAGAAAGATGAGGGAAAAGAGGAGACAGGTTTTGGTACCACTTAATTCAGTTTTCATCCCTTATCACAGTATTCTCATTGCATATCCCAGGGGGTTTTGATAGTTACATCATGATTCAAGAGAAGCATACCTCAAAAATTGTTCTTGACATGAAAATCCAGGAAATTTTATATTAAATGAATCGTAGGGATGCTAAACCAGTTTTTATATCATTAAAAAGAACAAAGAAATAGTAGTGTTCACTGTTGGAAATTTTAATAGAAAATAGAATGAACAAAAGTTGATGTTTTAATTGTTTTAGGTAAAATTTTTACTGGAGTCAGGTTGACTGGACTTTACAATCATCTAAGGACACTTTAGTGCTGACACTTTTAGTGCTTAAGCAACTCAGTTATGCTTTTCCAGAAATACACTTACCCATCAACTGGAAAAACACTCTCTAAAAATGTATTATTATGTGGAGAAATTATTCATAGAGATTGTTTCAGATCTCTTCCATATATGCCCTGTATTGGAGTTGGTCTTCCTTGAAGGACCTTAGATTTCAAACTGGAACTCTTGCTATGAAATCAGCTTCCATAGAATGATTGAGCCTCATTAAAGTCACCGAAATAGTGTAGACATTTCCAAAAGCAGCACAGAATTGAAATTTCATGAGATTGTTTTAAGGATGCAGATGCAAATGCCTGTACTTACAGAAATAGAGCATTATGGAGAAAAAAATACTTTGAGTGGATGGCCACCCAGCATATCCTTTTCCCTCTGTGCCACATGGCATCTAACTAGTTCATTAGCTAGTTGGTTCTTAAACATTTCCAATGAAGGTGATTCTGAAGTCTGCCACGGTGATGTCCAGTGAGGCTTCTTTGTAAAATCTAGTGGGCAGCAAAGAGACTTTCTCCTGAAATTAATTCTTGGCCTGTCTGCTTTCAGTTCATTTGTCCTTTTTGCTTTCCTGTTTTATGTGATTCAATAATAACCTTTATTCACAATGAGCCAGGTTATCACATTGACTCTGTGACCAAACAGAATGAAATAAAATATGTTGTAGGCTCATAGAGCTAATTCATATTTCCCCAGTTTTCAGTTCCACAGGGATATGCATTGATTTCCTATTTATTAGGGAGGTATAACAGGGAGAGTTAGGGATTTTAGTCATCTTGTAAAGTCTAATGTAAACATATTGGCATAATCATAGGTATATTCAAGTATGTGGAAGTATGTTGCTTCCCCCAATCATCCTGGAAAGCTTTGTGTTGACAATTGAGCTGTTTTTCAAATATTGCCACCTGACTTTCTATTACATGCTGTTTCATTTTGTGTTAAGCATGCCTTAAATAATGGGCTAATGTGTACCCTTCTTTTATAATAGTATTTGCTTAAGAGGAAATATTTTCTCAGTGATTTTGAAACTAACTTAGGAAAAAATTCCTCTGATGTGTGTTAACAGAGCTGTTAACAAGGCAATCTTTAAAAAAAGGAAACTAGTTTTAAAAATGGGAGAGCTAGCTCTATTTTTCATATAATAATAAATACTGCTGAGTAGATGTAAAGCTCTACAGTGTATCCAGGGATGATAATTAAAATGTATCAATCAGTAAGGCAAGGTACTACCCCAGTCCAAGTGGGTACTGGCTTTAGGTCAGGAGCAAGGTCCTGGAGGCCTCCTGGAGCAGGTGTTAAACATTAAGGTGCTAGGTTATGGGTGAGGCAGGGAGCTTGAGTGGAGTGGTGGCTATAGGAAAGCACTAGAAAGTCTAGGACAGTAGCCAAATACCAGCAGTTTTATACTTTAACAACTACTAGTGCTGGACCAGGACATCCTAGCTTGTATCAGCCCCACATATATCAAAGATTGTATGTTACATTTTTATTGGGAGTTGGTATAAAGGGAAACCTCATTAGTATAAAATCACATCTGGTTTTCCAAGCTTCTGGTGTCTAAGTCTTCTGGATATTTCCTAGAGGAGACAGAGGAGGCAAAGAGGAGACTCAGAGCAGTGTCCCTGCAGTTGGTGGATCTTGTCCATTGGACAGAAGGTGGCCTGAAATGCATGAGGTCATCTACATGGATAAGAACCAAGTCTCTGTGTTACTCACCATTGTATCCCCAGCACCTAGACCTGAAGGCTCAGTAATGAAGGAATGAATGAATGGATGAATGAATGAATGGATGAATGAATGATTAGAGCTGTTTCAAAATAGGCTTTATTATTATTCAGTTGAGGGCAACAGATCAGGATATCATGGCCATTGAAAAGATACTTGGGGTTGGTGGGAATGTAAATTGGTGCAGCCACTGTGGAAAGCAGTATAGAAATACCATTTGGCCCAGTAATTCCACTTCTAGGAGTTTACCCAAAGAAAACAGAGTTGCTGATTCAAAAAGATATATGCACCCCTATGTTATCACCACATTATTTACAATAGCCAAGTTATGAAATCAACCTAAGTGTCCATCAATAGGTGAATGGATAAGGAAGATATACATACACAAAATGGAATATTATTTAGCCATAAAAAAAGAATTCCTTCCATTTGCTAAAACATGGATGAACCTAGAGGGTAGGTATCATGCTAAGTGAAATAAGTCAGGCAGAGAAAGACAAATACCATATGATTTCATTTATTTGTGGAATATAAAAACAAAACAACCCAAAATGAACAAAACAGCAATAGATTGAAAGACACTGAGAAGTGACTGGTGGTTACCTTGGGGGAGGGAATGGAGGCATTGGGTAGGCAGGGTAAGGGGGATAAAGGGGCACAAAAATTCTCAATAATAATATAAGCTGGTCACAGGGATAGTAAGTAGTACAGCATGGAAAATATAGCCAATGATTCTGTAACATCTTCCTATGTTGACAGATAGTAACTGCACTAGTTAGAGTAAGGGTTTTAGAATATGGGTAACTGTTGAATCACTGTGTTGTATACTTGAAACTAATATAAGATTGTATACAAACAATACTTCAGTAAAAAAAAAAAATAGTTGGTTACTCAAAATTTCCAAAAGGAGGGGATATGCCATACCCTGCAGGGCCACATGGGGAAGTGCCAGTGCTGGTCAGGAGGCAGAGGGAGAGGGGGACATGTGAGCCAGAGTTTTCTTGTGGCTTTTGTGGGAAGGAACACGTGAGGCAGGGAAAGCAGGCTAAGAATTGGCTAGTTTGAATAATTTCAGTTGGCTTCTGGTATGTGGGCTGTTTCCAGGGGTCTGTGCCTGGCCCTACCAGGGTAATTAAGGTGGGGCAATAGTGACCTTAAGGTGAGGGTGAGAGAGGAAGTGATGGTTGTGTGGACTCTGGATTAGTTAGTTAGCATATGAAAGGCAGTCTCCCAGACTAGTCATTTGCTATTCCTAGGAATTGACTAGGTCCAGGAGGGGCGGTCTCTCCTGGATCACCAGGACTCCAGATGTCAAAGCATCAGAAATACAGAAAACAAAAAGGCATGATTAATACACTGGCCACTCTTGGAAAATAATGCAAATATCCTGTTTGTCCTTAAAGGTCTGATGTAGGCAAGCAGAGATGTTTTTTTTCTTTGCTTCCACATTTCTTTTTATACCTGTGGGTACTTGGAACAGCACTTAATGGTAATAATTATAGCCAAGATTTGTAAAATCCTTACTACGTGTTCAGCGTTATCCTAAGAACTTCACATACACGAACCCAGTCGATGTCCACAATACCCAAGGCAGCAAGTGAATTTTATTTTCTCATTTTATTCGTGAGGAAGTAAAAGCCTTGAGAAATGACATAACTTAGTCAAGGTCATATATAGTTGCAATGTGATACTCCTCTTCTCTCTGCTATACTTCCTCTCTCATTTATTGTATTCTAGTTACTTGCTTATGTGTCTGATGGTGGAGGTAGTTTGAACAGCTCAAAATGTTGAATGGTTCTTCTCATCTGCATATGTCCCATCTCCACGAGACAGCAGGCACCAAATAAGTAAAGTTTCCATCACCCTTCTCTTTTATTTGGGCAGCTTGATAAGCAGCCCATTGTTCAGCAATGTTGGAGAAGCCATCCGGAGGGAAGGAGGCCTGGTATACGGCCCGTTCCTGTTCCTTTATTTGACATTCTCTAAGAATGGGGACTTGGGAAGAAAGAGATGTATGACTCTGCAAATGGTTATTTCTGTGGTGTGGCATTTGTGCCTTACTTAATCTGGGTTACACAGATGCTTGCTTTGTGGGATATGGGTTTTAGAAAGAAGTGTGTGAGATGCTTTCCCTGTCCTTGGGAAAACTAAGTGAATGTGCAGAACTTATTCCAACCCAGGAATGTTAACTGGAGAGACAGAGCTCCTGCACTTGTCATTGGTGGCTGTCCGGATCATCTCCTCTGATTTATCTTCCTTCCAGCTTGCCACCGGTCCTGCTCTGGGTGTGAGGGGAAGAGCCCACATAACTGCACAGCCTGCTGGCCTTCCCACGTGCTGCTGAATGGGCAGTGCCTCCCGCAGTGCCCAGACGGCTACTTTAACCAGGAAGGCAGTTGTACAGGTAAGTATGTAACCTGCTGGGGCACAGTTGCTATGCTCATATTCTATCTTTATAATGCAGCTGAACTCTGTCATTAGGTACTTTGTCATACCAGGGGCCTAAGGCTGGGCTGTAAATCCTTATCTTGAACTTCTAGGAGTAAAGGTATAGTGAGGGAAACAAGTGATATTCTGTTCTTCCAGCTGGAAAGTGTGGGTGAAATGAAAACTGGGAATCAGCTTTACCCTATGCATACAGCAAGGGATAGACTGAGGTGGTCATCACAGAGGCAAACTAATGACACGTTCTAATGTACTTGTGTAGGATCAGGCCCTTGGCATTACCTCTAGTTCTCACCATAGAGAAGTCTCCTACCTCCCCTGGCTATAGCTTAATAGAACAAAAGGAGAGAGAGGTATTTATTTTCTCCTTTGACATGTCAATCCAATATGCTTTTAAGAGCACCTTTATATTTTAGTGACAAGGATTCTAGAAATTACTAGTTGAGATTAGTGCAGGGCTTTACTGGAATCGACAAAATGCTAAAATTTAAGCACCTTATTGTAGCACTGTTTTCTGTATCTGTATCTACAGAAAAAAAAGATAAAACACATTCTATCATGATTGCCCTTTCATTTCTAAAAACAGACTTTTGAGGCCGGCTTATAGGAATGAGCCCCTTCTTATGAAATTGTATGACATGTATCTCTAGGGTTGGAAAACATAGTAACTGTGTAATATATCTTTAAAATAAATTTACAATTGTTAGATTTATCTAGCCTCAAACTCTGAAGAGGGAATTTAATGTGGACACAAATTTAGAAGAGTGAAGATCAATATATTTCTTAGGGAATTTTCTTTTCCCAAGTATCTTTTTGTCTCTTTAGGCCTGTGGTGGGTTGCCTCACTTGGAACACCATCCAGCTCCACGGGATGTGTCCCTGGTGTCTTTGTCATTGGCTTGTCTTTGAAAGCTGTGGTCTGTCCTTATGTGCTCTTGCCTTTACCCAACTGATAGCTGTGTGTGTAAAATTGTTTGGGGAGTGAAGTCTGAGTAGCTTTAACTCTTCTCTGTCTAAACCTCTGCCCTCTTGAAGCCTGCAGATGGATGGTACCTCAAGCAGCAGGGCATGAGGTCGCTGGAAATATTCTGGCAGAGAGGAAGAACTTGGGGGTGGAAATCATCCTGAGAATGCCAGGACCTTTTGGACAGGCAGTTTCAAAGTTAAGAGCTTCAGGAATGTAGAAAGGGTGATAGGAAATGCTTGCCTTCTAATAAACAGTTCATTTTCTTGCTTGCTTTTTTCATAACTCCTTATCTTCTCTTGGCCTCTCTCCAGAAGAAGTGAGAGGCAGTTGACTTTACTCAGAATCTGTGCCTTTGCTTTCCAGCAGCCTTGTGCCAGAAGGGAATTCTTTGTCATCGGTTCCAGCAAGCTCTGCCCAGCTCTGGTCCCTCCCCTCTGCTCCTCTTGGAACCAGACAACTCAGACCTCCTCATCCTTAGTGCAGACCCCCCACCTTCAGTCTTCTTGCGCTTGCTCCCGTTGCCTGCCTTGGCAGACGGGTGCTGGTGCAGCTGCAGGCTTCTGCGGCTCTTTGCCATCCTTAGCTTTATTGCTCACACCTCACTTGTTTTTTTAGCATAGTACCTCTTAATACTTTGGTGGTTTTCCTGGGTAAAACATAGCCTTGACACAGTTTCATCTAAGGAATTGGACTTCCAACCTGGTTCATGATAACCTCTGGAAAGAGCACTTTTCTGTTTTTTGTATTTTAATTAAGCATCGCTGCTAAAAGAAGCATCCAACTTTTGGACTGAAGGGAGAGCCGGCTGGCATCTGACTTTAGTGAGAAGTTTTAATAACCCTTGCTGTGTGTGGTTCCCCCTCTGCCTGCTAGGGGCAATTCTGAGAAGCAAAATGTCTCCCTCCACTTTGTGTCCTGCTCTTTGACTCATGCCTGGTATTCTAGTGAGGGGGAGTCTTGCCATTTACTTTTCTGCTGTGTGACTTTGATCTGAACTTCCTTATTTACATAAATGAAGATACTCGTGCTAGGCCCTCTGGAATGTGCAGCCAATTACTCTAATTTTTGTGGTTCTAGATTCTATGCTGTGTTCATAGATACTATTTTCACCAACATCAGAAATTGCAGTCTTTCGGTGAGGCTTAAGGGTATGCCAGGCTTGCTCAGGCATCTTCAGAAGATGATGAACGTTTGAAGTCTCCTCATCATGTAATTTGTGAAGGGCATTAAATTCTTCATGTGTGTACATGCTGAGCTGCTAAGTCCAATCCTGCCTCTTGTTCCCCCTAGAATGCCACCCCACCTGCAGACAGTGCCGCGGGCCATCGGAGTCTGACTGCGTTTCCTGTCACCCGTACGTCGCCCTTGCTGGTGGGAACTGCAGGGCCAGCTGTAAGGAAGAGCAGTTCCTTGACCTCATGGGGCACTGTGCTGGTGAGTGGGCCTCCATCAGTCTCAGAAACCACCAGCCAAGCCTAGGGTTCTTAATGCCACGCTGGGCGGCCCTCGGCTCTGTCCTCTGTCATCAGATTAAGAGCTCTTTTGGGGGCACACTTGTCTCATGTCTGGGAACTCACCTGACTGCTTCCTATCAGACATTCAGTAAATATTTGTAGATTCAGATGGACCTTTCTAATAATACTCTTGTAATTCCCCAAAAAACTTAGAACCCATTAATGAAGAGTGAAGTGATGATGATAATATCTTAGATGCATGCGTTACACTTCAGCTTAAGATAAAAAAATGTCTCTTCTATCTTACAACCACTCTGAAGACTCCCTCTTGTCTGCATTATCTCTGCCTGTTGCTGTGAGGGACCTTTGCCTTCAGCCACAGGCACAACAATTTAGGGAGATTAACCTAAAAGTGAATTAATTGTCTCAGGAGAGAGGATTTTTCCTGCTTATTTTAGAACTCAGATCTCAAAAAGAAAAAAATGAGGAAAGCAGCCCAGAATTTGAATAGTGATGAAGGAGCCATACTATGTTTTTTTCACCCATCCGTTCATGCAACACACAGCTTTGAGTCTCAAGAGCTGTCCTCAAAGAGCTTATGGTCTTGAGAGTGGAATTTGCAGACTCCTAGGTCATGATATATTTCTTGACCGACTTCTCCAAGTTATTGGAGAAACTCGGAGAGATTTGCCCACAGCAGTTGTTATCACAGCTCTGATGGGCCGACTGGGAGGCATTCTGGGGTGCCACTGGGCAAGTGGACAGGTGAGAGAGTTAGAATTATCTGGTTGGGTGCACGCTGGAGGTCAGCATGGCTGCAGGGCTTATCCCCAGACAAAGAGGAGGCATGGTCAGTTGTCTAGATCATAGTATTAAGAGGCACATTCAGTCTGGGACAACACTGATCTCAGTTGTCCAGTTTGGTGGGTGGGGCACAGTCTTCTGAGTCTGGCTGGTGGTGGCCATGGTCCTGAGTGATCCATTCCTCTTTGTACATGTCCTTAGCTAAAGACTAGATATCAGGGTCTAAGGGCCATATACCCTTGGAAGACTACACTGTCAAGAGCAGGGCTGCAGCCAAAATATGCTGGGATTCAAGGACAAACTCAGTTGTAAAGACTGCAGACATTTTACAGGCAACAAAAAGTAGAAGCTTGGAGAGTCCAGTCTTGAGGCTGAGATGCCCCACAGCTGTGAGCCTATTGTCAGTACTGCCAGTTGTAGTCAGGGCCAACTTGGGAAGTGGGTAAATGGGAAGCATTAGTGCCTACCCTTGAAGAGGAATCTGGGGATGACAGACAGACTGGTATTGCAGTTTGTAAGCTTGAGTTCAGCTACTGAGTCTTACTTTAGTATCTGAAGGAATAGCTACCATGAGAACTGAGTAGTTCCTGACATTGTTACAGTACATTAGTGGGTATTTACATAGAATCCACTGAGCATAAAGTGCTGAGTTGCTGCTTCAGGGGACAAGATATCTTCCAGACTACTTAAGGAGGTGAACCAAAGACAAAAGGCAGTTAAACAATACAAAGCAATTTATGGCTAATAGCACCAATGAGCAGTATGGGTTGTACAGTTCATGGGGTGGGAGGTATAGAAGATACAAAAAAGTGTTGTGGAGGAGCTGGAACCTCAAATTCTTCCCCCAAAATAGCTATTGTTCAGTTTGACAGGAGATCCGGCAGGCTTTCTAGGTACAGTTCCACCAGGAGACAAGCCCAGAGGAGAGACGATATGGCCCATTCGTGGCCAGTGAGTGGTCCAGCTTGGGTGAAGAGCGTGGTTTAAGGCATATTAGATGAAATGGTTTGAAGATTTAAGTTGGGATGAGGGTATAAAAAGCCCTAAGTTCTAGGCCAAAAAGTTTGGAATGAATCAGTAGGCAATAGGACCATGGGAGTTTGGGAGAGGACTGTGCCTTGACTCAGGGTGTGTGTCAACAGGAAGTCTGCAAGCTATGTGGAAGATGGACTGGAGCAAGGAGAGATTAGAGTCAGAGACAAGAGCTTGAAGGTTGAACCTTCCTGATATGGTTTTTCTATATCCAACCTATTCTCCATGTGCACCCTAAAACTTTTATCTGAGGCATATTTTATAAATAAATGTTTATATAAGGGGACTGGAAAAATTTAATATTTAATGAGCTCTGTTCTCTCCAATGTCTAGAGCCCTCTTTGATAGTAAATTAGGTGATTAGAAGTTGCATTAATTTTTTAAGGCTAACAGGAGACCATTAGAATAAAAAATCATGGGACCAGGCTAAATGATTCTGGAAGTTCACAGCCCTAAAAGAACAGGTACCACTAAAATAAGCTGGAAGGGACAAACCTTGGCCATCCTGGGAATTAGGCATATTAAGGAAAGGTTTTAATTAAGGTAACCACTGTCTAGGGCTTAGAAATCTTTTGTTGAAGAGCCTGGTGTATCAGTATTTATTATAGAAAAATTAGACAAGTAATTTCAATTGTTGATCTTCCAGAGAAGTTCACTGACCACAAAGTTTACTTTTTCAGTAAATACATGCTCTTTCCAAACACCTGCCACTTCTCTTTCTAGCATTGTAATGTATTCACTCATTTATGGCTTCATGAAACATTTATTAAGCGCATGCTATATGCCAGGCGCTGTGCTGGGCTATGGGATGCCAGGCACTATGCTGGGCTATGGGGATGCCCAGATGAATAAGATAAGGTGTTTGCATGCAAGAAACATACAGTGCAGCAAAGAAAGGGGATATGAGGTGAGCCTGTGGGACAGGTGCCTAACCTGTGGGGGGGAGGTTTGGTGGGGGGAGGGGTGTAGTAGATGATGAAGTCTTTCTGGAACATATCATAGCTGAGATGATTTTGAAAGATGAGTAACAATTAGAAGGTTTGAAGATTTGCAGGGGAGAGCTTTCCAGAAGACAAGCCAAATAACACTATTTCTGTACCAGCAGAGAGTTCAGTAGAATGCCAGCACTGAGCATGGGAAGCAGAAGGAGGCAAGGCCAGGCCAAGGAGGCCTTTGTATGTCCTGTTCAAGGAGAACATACTTTGTCATCAAGGCTGTGAGGAACTCTGGAAGGTTTTTAAGTGGGGGAGTATCATGGCTGCATTTCCGTGAAGAGAAAGATCTGCGAAAGTCTGCATGGAAGATGACAAGCCTGGGGGCAGAAAGACCTTTAGAAGGTGTTTGTAGGCATACAGTGAGAAATGAGGGATGAAGTCCTTCAGTGGGAAAACTGCTGAGGGGTTGAAGAGCAGGGAGCATTGCTTCTCTAAGTATTATTATCTATTAGGCTGGCCCATGTGAGACTGCTGTTTTGTGAGTACAAATGGTCAAAGAGTGGCGCTTTCATACAGTTCAACCTAATAAATAGAAGCAACAGGAGCTGGTGCTCTCTTGGCCTTGGGAGCTGAGGGAGAGGGAGTTTTGAGGATGATTTTTGGGTTTCTGGTCAAGTAAATTTGAAGAACGGGAGTACCACTTACCAAGGATCAGAATAAGAATATAACATGTGAGAATTTAGAAGGTTCAATATGGAATGAGTGCTGGCCATGCAGGGGTAGCTGTCCAGGTGGAGATTGAAAGTCTAAGTGAATATGGTTTTCTTACCATAGCCACCTGGAGCTTATTGGCTCTCTCCATTTTACAGAGACCCTACAGGCCTGGATCTTTTTTTAACTGTTTTTTTTTTAATTGTTTTAACTGTGTTGCTTCAGTCAGGTGATAGTTAACCTCATGGAACTTTTCAATGACTTTAGCTATACCAGTAAGGTGTTAGGAGGAGCCCTGTGATGATAGACAAGGCAGAAGATAACCTGCCCCAGGCCGTGCCATAAGCAGAATGTATGTTCATCATGCTTGGGCAGGTCTAGCACAGTGGAGGCCCTGGAGAAGAACATTTTCTGCTCCCTTTATTGAATTGAGCTTTGCAGGTTGGTAGGATTTACTCACAGGATTTATTCTCTATCTGAACTGTACCTTAAGATCATCATCAGAGACCTCTTAATTGTACTTAGCTGTTTAAGAAAGAAAATGACATCTAATCTGTCACTCAGACAAGAATAAACACATCCTGGGAACAGGTCCAGTAACCTCAATGTGTTATCACATATGGAGATGTCATGTGTGTGGGGTTTTTCCCCTTCAACTCTACCAAAGCAAATACACTGTTTGTGAGATTTAGGCCAGGGCTGAAGGTTTTCAACAAAGATAAATGAACTGGGGTGAGAGGCAAGAGTGGGTAAGATTGCAGCTGACATGGTTAAGTGCTGTGGAAAGCCAGATATTTTCTTCATAGATGTTTTTCTTTATATTTTGCCAACATCTCAACTTATTAAAAAATTGCAAAGCCTGGAGTGCTTTTTGCATTTTTCCTTCTCAGCTAAAACCTTTCTTCTGTTTCTAGAAGAGGATGAAAACTAAAAAGAAAAGAAAATTAAAAAGAAAATATGAGGGAGATATATCCAAATGTAGGTGCATTAAAAGTAATGTCTTGGGCTTTGCAGAATGACTAATGGATTGGCTGTCCTTTTGAATTCTTCCATAGAAAAAGAGATAATACTGAGAGCAAAATTACAGAGGGGAAGACTGGAATATTTTAAGCAGCTAATTTGTTAAGGTGGTAGGATTCTGGGGGATTAAATTTTGCTTGTTTATGCAATAAATATTTAAATGCTGGTTCATTTTCTTCGTAAATCTGTGCCAGAATGTAATCAAAAGAAGACAAATGTCAGGCAAGAAATATTTCTCTGAACATTTTCATATCATATTCCATAGTACTCAAGTTTTAAGCAATGGTTAGTAGGTGTTGCATGCAAAAAAGTTTCCTAGCTAAATAAATTTGGGAAACAATCAGTTAAATAAAGTTAAGCTACTTTATTGCAGAATTTCTCAGAACCTTAAATAATCAGATGTGCATTGTAAATCTCTAAGCTGACGGGGCTGGGCCCCACTTCCCAGACATTTAATTGCAGCCCCCTCCCCTTTATT